GAACTGGAAACTAGTGTAGGTCTACTAAGTGACAAGACTGAGAAACTTCAAGACCCCACTCCCAATGTTAGATCTGCCAGGGAAGGTATACAAGTGCCTAAGATCTGAGGTTCGCACATTGAATACATTTTTTTTTTTTTGAGATAGAGTCTTGCTCTATTACCCAGGCTGGGTGCAGGGCATGATCTTGGCTTACTGCAACCGCTGCCTCCCCAGTTCAAGTGATTCTCGTTCCTCAGCCTCCCAAGTAGCTGGGATTACAGGCACACACCATCAGGCCCGGATAATTTTTGTATTTTTAGTAGAGATGGGGTTTCACCATGTTGTCCCAGGCTGGTCTTGGAGTCCTGACCTCAGGTGATCCACCCACCTTGGCCTCCCAAAGTCTTGGGATTACAGGCGTGAGCCACGGTGCCTGGCCACACTGATTTTTTTTTTTTTTTTTTTTGAGACTGACTCTCACTCTGTCACCCAGGCTGTAGTGCAGTGGCGTGATCTTGGCTCACTGCAACCTCTGCCTCCACCTCCCGGGTTCGAGTGATTCTCCTGTCTCAGCCTCCTGAGTAGCTGAGATTACAGGTGACCACCACCATGCCTGGCTAATTTTCATATTTTTAGTAGAGATGAGGTTTCACTATATGTTGGCCAGGCTGGTCTCGAACTCCTGCCCTCAGGTGATACACCTGCCTTGGCCTTCCAAAGTGCTGGGATTACAGGTGTGAGCCACCGTGCCCAGCCACTGAATACATTTTTAAGAGAGATATTTTCTTCATTGTGGTTAGGGTGTGTGATACTGTTAGTCTGGTCTTCAGATATAGCACAGGGTAAAATACTGTCTTTCATGGCCTAGCTTGGTAATCTAACCATCAGGGGATACTATTAAGAATCCTTAATAACCAGTAGGGTACAGGAGCCAAAACAATCAGTGTGCTCCTTCTGTATCTTACAACCAAATATCATCAAATGGTTTGGCTACAATCAGCTCCTACGGAAACCTGTTACTCTAGTTTCAAGCAAATGACTTATAGTTGGCTCTGTGGAACCTTTTAGGGACTCCTAATCATAAAATGATTGCTCAACAGCTCAGCTTATGCTTGATCTGCCCTGCTCTGATAAGAAAAAAATTTTTTTCAAATTTTTCTCTTTCCCTCATAAAATAAACACCAGCCACTATTGCACTTTCAAACAACTACAACAGGATACTTCATTCTCCGGGGGAGGAGACCCCATTTTAACTGCTGATAATCTGAAATTTACTTCCAACCTCCTGGCAAGTACACAGCAAGGGCAACACTTTACTTATGGCTTCCCCCCATCCCATTTATACACTGTTAGACAGAAAAATAAACATGGAAAAAGCTAACAAATGTTAAATCCATTCAGTAGATGCATTTTAGGATAAAGCTGGCAAGTTTCACTTAAACTGTAACCAAAAGTGTCTCCAATATTCAGCAACAACTAAGCTGGATGAGAAGAAAATGAGTTACTGATATATTATGTATTTATTCATTCTCTACATAGAACATGGATGAGGTACATAAAATATATAGTTGGGATTACTGTATGTATACAGGTTCTACTTTGGGCCTATGCTATCTTAAGATTCACAAAAATGACAAATAAACCAGGGCTAGTATTATATAAATGTAGACTTTGAATAATATACTAACTGGGCTATGGAAGCATAAACAAACTGTAATACTGTACTTCATAATAAAACAAAAAAGCGAACAAAATTCTACCATGTAATTAGTAGAGCTATTGTTATTTTAAAACCACTTTAATACATGATTTATCCTCATAAACGGTGATAGTGAGAATCAAATTATATTGCTGAAGTTACAGGCACCAGAAGTCAAGATTTTTGGATTGCCTGTTAATATGTAAATCTGTAGACTTTCAGATAAGGCAATTTTATTTTTTATTTGTTATTAAACATTCCAGTAGCATCAGAAATGAGTTGACCTCTGAAGCAACTATGAGAATACTCTTTGGGTCTATTTTTTTTGTGAATAGTGACAGCTATTAACAGAATTAAAGAAATTACAGTTTTGCTTTTGATTATTGCAATCCCTCACAAGGGGCAGGAGGAAAACTACATTTTGTTGCTGGTCTTGGGTTATTCTGATGATTTATTAGGGGAGGCAGAATAAGTGTTAGAGTGAGAATAGATGAGCACATGTTCATTTGTTATGATATATGGTATAAAATGTGACCAGAGCCTTTTCCTTTTTCAGATTTTATAATCTACTCTTGAATTTGTGGTTATATAAAACTGATGAATCAATTCATAAATCCAGGGAACCAATAATCCCTACAAAAACAACAGACCTGGTCATCTAAAATGTTATGTTACTGGCAGTAACAAGATTAAAAGCTGGAAATGTTTGAGCTGAATGAAAAATTTTATTAAAACGCAGTTATCTAAATCATAAATTTTTAATAAAATTATTTAAAGAGAGATTTTCTTTAGGAAACCTTAAAGATATATATATTTAAGTATATCTGAGTTTTGGGGCAAAGTCTCCACCATGTTTTCATATGCTGTCTAATTATTATCTAAAAATGGCCCAATTTTTGCTATCAAAATATTCTTACTTCAAACACAAAATATCATTCAAACAATTCTGTAATTCTTCTCATTATCACAAACTTTAAAAATTGAATAACTTTATTTCAGATAAATTACCAGAAAAGCTTTGGTGACATGTTGAGAGAATAGAGAAGATCAATAACACATTGGGATGTTTAGAAGTCACCTGTAGGACCACAGCATGGAGCAATAGAAAAGGTTCAACAAAGCTTTCTTCGAGAGGAGTGTTGGGAACGTGAGACTCAACAGGATCTAGGTCGTTTAGGTAAAGGGATAAAACACAATTTCGAGCTGGGAAAGTGATTGAGGAGGAGCATCTCAGCAAATGGTGGTGTTTTTGGCATATTTACCTGTCCTTCTCTAAAATTTTCTGAAGTTCTAGGTCTCTGCAATTCCAGCTTTGATTCAATGAGGTCGGTAATAAGTTACAGCAAACCACAAGGTTTATTTTCTGAGATGCCGGATAACTTCAGATTCATGTTTATATCATTGTTTTTTAAACCTATTTTTTTTTTGCGGCTCTAAATACAAATGAGTTTTTTATTTCCCATGTATCTTAGCAGCTTTTTGGCAGTGCAGAATTTTGAAGGAAGATGGATTTTTCTATTTTATTAGCTAACACGTCTTTATTAGACTGCTTTCAAAGTACATAATATCCACTGTGGTTAAATTTCAATAGCCTGAATCTCTGGATTGAAGATCTGAAATTTGGATACATGAAATGCTCATTTTAAAAGCATTCCAATGGCCAAAATGCTGATGAAAATGTTTTGTGAACAATATATAAATTTTATATTACCAAAAGTGTGTTACTTTTAAAAATTAAAATAAGGAATATGATTTAATACCTTTTAAAGGGTTATCCTAATGCAAAATCCCTCTTTAAATACAACTAATTTAAAGTAGCACATTACTGTTTTGTTTCAAACAGGCAAATATAAATATGAAAACATTTGTCTTATTTTCCACAGTCTTTATTTGATAAAATAGTCAAGTTTGGACATTTTGAAACAAGCTAGAATAAGTTTTAGCTTGATTTATATAAAAAATGCATTCAACGAAAGAAATTATGTCTAATAACAAAAAATTCCCAACAAATTAAAATTAAATATTAATGGAGCATTTTATAAAAACTGAGTCACTACTTGTTCAATGCCACTTTCCTTTTTTTTTCTGAGATGGAGTCTGGCTCTGTTGCCCAAGCTGGAGTGCAGTGGCACGATCTTGGTTCACTGCAACCTCCACCTCCAGGGCTCAAGCGATTCTCCTGCCTCAGCCTTCCAAGTAGTGGGGATTACAGGTGCGCACCACCACGCCTGGCTAATTTTTGTACTTTTAGTAGAGACAGGGTCTCGCCATGTTGGCTGGGCTGGTCTCAAATTCCTGACCTTAGGTGATCCACCCACCTCAGCCTCCCAGAGTGCTGGGATTACAGGCGTGAGCCAATACGCCCAGCCCATTGCCACTTTCCCTTTTGATCATTCACCTCAACCAGCCACACCTGGTGCCACCACTGAGTTAATGCTAGGAACGTGAGCCTCCTATAAAACTGGCACTATACACGTTGGCAAAGACCAAACACTGGAAGTACACAGCAAACAGGGAATAAGGACAGGCAACTAAAAATCACCTCCACTACACACTTCACCCATCTTCCTTCCTCCCTTCCTCCCTCCCTCTCTTTCTCTGTTTCTTTAAGACAGAGTCTTGAGCTATAGCCCATGCTGGAGTACAGTGGTGCACGATCTCAGCTCACTGCAACCTCCACCTCCTCGGTTCAAGCAATTCTTGTGCCTCAGCCTGCTCAGTAGCTGGGATTATAGACATTCACTGTGACGCCCAGCTAATTTTTGTACTTTTAGTAGAGGCAGGGTTTCTCCATGTTGGCCAGGCTGGTCTCGAACTCCTGGCCTTCAGTGAGCCGCCTGCCTCGGCCTCCCAAAGTGCTGGGATTACAGGCATGAGCCATTGTATGCAGTCAACTTCACCCACCTTTAAACTCCCCTTTGTGAATACAGAGCACACTACATTCACCCTCCTTCTTGCCTTCCAACAAGACAATTCACAGCTTGGTGTCTGTTCCTTTAATTAGGTCAACTCCAAGCTGAGATAAGCCTCAAGGAGTAGGCGTTTTAATGGGATAAGAAGAAAGAAGTCTAGAGAATTTAGGCTGTCAGTTTCAGCTGACCCAACATTTGTATCCCCCCTTTACTTCCACTTCTGTCCTTTCTCCCTGTTTATTATGGAATTCCTGAATCCACCTGGTCAGGGATTTCATATTCTATCACTTGTAAAAGTCATGTTATTAATTCAAAGTGACTGAAATAGCTGAGTAGCCTGAAAAACTGTATTATATTTAAGAAGTTCTATTAAGTATTAAAAGTAAGAAAATCTCTATGAATCCCACCTGATGATCCAAATATATGGTGTTCCTTTGGAGATGATGTGAAAGAATTTCATTCTAGTAGGCACCAATTAAGAAAAAAGGGACAGAGAAAGAGGATGTGGAATTCAAGAAAAGGTCAATTTTGGAATAAGAAAAACAGGTAATTTACTACAACCTATTAGATCACAGTGCACGACAACTTTCACGCACATGCTCCCCTGTAAATGGTATCGCTGACATATTAAATTATAAAATTATATTTTGTTTTGCAAGAAATTAAGTAGACATGCATATGAACAATGAACTATTAAGCAGAAAAATTCCTTAAAATAGCTCTAGCAAAAACTGTTAGAACTTCTACATGTCAATTATTTCCTGTAATAAAGTACTACTTCTTTCAATAAGATGTTTCTTATATAACCAGAGCTATAAACCCTTTGAGAAATGGTTGTGTTCATTGCCTTCATTAAAAATAATAAGACATTTTATAATTTTATTATTAATTTATTAATATTAATAATATTAATTTATTAATTTTTAACATTTAAAAGGCAGTATTATTAAAGCTATAATGAATTTTCAATTCATTGTTTTACTGGAATTTATAGGACTTCTCAATATTTGTTTTACCAGGTGTGGAAGTCACAGTATTCAGTGAATAACAACATGAAGTTAATGCATACATGAAGTACTGTATGCATTTCCTTCCTCAAAACCAAAAGCCAGTGGGTGAGCGGGTGGGTAGAAGGCTAAGAAGAAATGCACCCTACCTGCATTTTATTTCAGTCATGTATAAATAAGTTCGATTCTCAAAGGGTTAATAGGAGATTCTAATGTTGTCACTATAATGATGGTATGGGCTCATGCTCAATACTAATGACGCTGATCATATTGACTAATGAGTGGTTCAAAATAAGTGATGATGGCAGACGACACAGACAAATCTCTCCATAGCTGACCTTTGGGCTGTGGGCCTCAAGCTTTAGCTGCATGAGCTGTGCTAACGTATGCTCCCGGATACTACTCAGTTCGGCTTGCTGCCGTCTCAGCTTTATTAGCAGCAGCGTAAGCTCCTCTGGCTGAAGGAGTACAATTTAAGAATCCAAACAGTGGAAAACAGATTAATTGTTGTCTTAAGTGACAGATATTAAACCAAGATTTCTTGGCAAGTTTCCTCTTATGGTTGACATCAAACATAGTGCCTAGGCACTATGATGATAGGTCCTACATAAATGCATAGATATCTAGAGAAATAGAAGGAACAGTGTTACTTTAAAAGATACAGCAAAACAACAGTATATTAAGGCATTTTCTCAGAACTCATGAGAATATTTAAATGTTAAGTACAAAAAAGTACAATGTCAAAAAACCATTATAGAGGTTTGTACATAAGTGCTACTAAAAATTATTAAAAGATATTTTACTAAGATGTCTAAAAAAATTACACCTTTTTCCAGCAATAGTACAAATACCTACATGTCCAACTTTCTAACAGAAGGTATATAAAATAATTAAAATAAATGTAGGCCGGGCACAGTGACTCACGCCTTTAATTCCAGCACTTTGGGAGGCCGAGGCAGGAGATCACAAGGTCAGGAGTTTGAGACCAGCCTGGCCAACATGGTGAGGCCCTGTCTCTACTAAAGATACAAAAAATTAGCCAGGCGTGGTGGCATGCGACTGTAATCCCAGCTACCCGGGAGGCAGGAGAATCGCTTGAACCCAGGAGGCAGAGGTTGCAGTGAGTCGAGATCATGCCATTGCATTCCAGCCTGGGAAACAGGGCGAGACTCCATCTCAAAAATAAGTAAATAAATAAATAAATAGTAAGTAAATAAATAAATAAATAAAATAAATAAAATAAAATTGATGTAAAACTTGGATATCTTCACATTATTAAACTTGGGATCTGGGTTCTATTAATTATTTCCCAGTTATATTCTGAAATGTTACTGTTAGTGCTTTCATATAGCACTTTTTAGGACCAAAAGATCAGTTTTATTTTTTAAGAAAAAGAGAAAGTTTCCATGGGCACATAAACCTTCCTTCACTCTGGGAAAAGAAGAGAACCTTTTTTTGGTTCCTGATTGGTGACTGTGATCCAAAGGAAAACAAATTTTCAACGGTGGATGAAATTCCTTAATGGGCCAATTTAATATACTTTTCTTAGAAATACAGTAAAGTATGGGCACTGGCAGTCTTACAGCCCATAAAATATTACTTGGTATTTCTCAGAGCTTTGTTACAATTAACAACTGAAAGCGGGCTACAGGGAGACTCTCCTCACTCGAGTGCTGCAATGTAGTCTTAAAAATTCCAGGCTAAAAAGTATTCCTGAGATTGGTTTGTTTTGCCTACACCACACATTGCACTAGCTCTCTTCTGTTCTGTTTGTTATTGCTCTTTATTTTCCTACAATTCTTTTCAAAAACAGAAATCATTTTTAACCATTATCTGAAATCGTATTAAAAATTATTGCCTTCAGACAGAAAAAGTGTTAGTAGAAGTAAACTATAGTTACTATCGGATTCCTTAGATAAAACTAGGTATCTACAGGTGAGACAACAGTTTTTTACTGTATATTAAATGGTCAAAGAAGGTTTGGTGTGTGAGATTTAAATAAACCACATAAGAGAAAAAGAACAGTTGCTTTTGCTCTGATGCCAATTCTATCTTGTGACCTCATGATGCTAGAAAGGTCCGTGTTTTATGATCATCATCTCCAACACTCGAGGTCTTGTCAGGGAGAAGGTAAGGTGGGGTAAGGGATATGGATATTCTAAGAACCACAAGAAATCAGAGTGATACCACAAGAAATACTGAAACTCTGATTTATTATTTATGGATCTTAAAAGATTAAGAGATTTTCAAAAGGATGAAAGATACCAATAACTTTATTTAGATTTTGAGGCCAAATAAAGAGGCACGTTTGACCAAAGAAAGTAGGAGAGGTTGTAAATAAATTTTGTGCTAAATACCCACTAGAGGGAGCAAGGAATTAGAGAAACATTTGTGGTATGCTATTTAGCATTTACTTTGTGATTAATGACTATTCATCAGGTCAACAATCTAATGTTTTAAAATTCCAACATTTTAAAGTCTTAGTTTTAATTAAATAATCTTTGGCAAATAAACTGCAGGAAGTTTAAAGCAAGAAAATATTTCCTTTTATCTAAACGTATAAAAGATAAAACAATGTTTTTACAAAACACGTAAGATGAATTTGATTACTGCAGAAAGGGAATTTTAAATAATGAACAACGATATACACAGGTGCTAAAATCACATCTTTACAGAAACTAAGGCTATCTACTGACAATAAAGCCAGTGCCCCTGATAAAAGAATACCATTAAAATAAACTGAAGTGAGGAAAAGTCATCTTTTCTCTTTAACTAGAAGTATCCTGCTAATATAACACCTTTCCAATTAACATAACACTGACAATGAAATGATAATGGTAAGTACTCTCTGCTGGAATGTTTGTTACAGTCTTTCTTTTTCTGCTGATAAGCAAATCAGTTTCTTTTATTAACAGCTCTAAAGAAGTTAATCTAAAAATCCACACGAAAAACTTAATACACTGGCAGTTTGACTACAAATAGCTGCTTGCTGGATTTGTTCACTAATGAATTACTGCAATTTCTGTTTTAAGGATAAGGGAATTAACAAAGTAAAGAAACCCACTTAGCTTACACAATAAAGTTTCTTTTTTTTTTTTTTTTTTGAGACAGAGTCTCACTTTGTTGCCCAGGCTGGAGTGCAATGGCCGGATCTCGGCTCCCTGCAAACTCCACCTCCCGGGTTCAAGTGATTCTCCTGCCTCAGTCTCCCGAGTAGCTGGGATTACAGGCACGCACCACCATGCCCAGCTAATTTTATATTTTTAGTAGAGATGGGGTTTCACCATGTTGGCCAGGCTGGTCTCGAACTCCTGACCTCAAGCAATCTGCCCGCCTCGGCCTCCCAAAGTACTGGGATCACAGGCATGAGCCACCACACCCAGCCGTAAAGTCTCAAAATACAATCTTTTATTTGGCCAGTCAGGCACTTAGGAAACGGTATCCACTAAAACACCGAAATGGCTACATGATTCCAAATTCTTCTGATGAGCATCTCTTGCACAAAAGCAGTAATGCTTTTTCTTTGGGAGAACCTCTGAAAATTCAAACTTAAAAACTATGTTAGATATGTACCTTCCTGTGTAGCACATAAATAAAACATGGCATGGTAAATAAAGATATTACTCACCGTTTTCCCTTGGAGGCTCTGGGGACTAACAGACTGTAAAGTCAGGCCAGCTGGCACTGACCTTCTGTCAGGCACATAGACATGCTAGGAAAGTAAAGGTACAATGTAATTCTGCAGTAAAGTTTTTTTTTTCTTGTCAATGTCAGCAAGGAGAAATCTTAAATTCATATTATGAAATACCATTTAAAATTGCTATTAGTGCTTATGAAAGATGATAGAGACTAAAATTTCTTGTGTCATAAAATACTAATGTGGGGCTGGATGAGGTGGCTCACGCCTGTAATCCCAATGCTTTGAAAGGCCAGGGTGGACAGATCAACTTGAGGTCAGGGGTTTGAGATCAGCCTAGCCAACATGGTGAAACCCTGTCCTTTCTCTACTAAAAATACAAAAAAATTAGCCAGGTATGGTGGCGTGGGCCTATAATCCCAGCTACTCGGAAGGCTGACATGGGAGAATTGCTGGAACCTGGGAGGTGGAGATTGCAGTGAGCTGAGATAGCGTCATTGCACTCCAGCCTGGGTGACACAGCGAGGCTCCATCTCAAAAAATACTGATGTGGATGAGCAGAGTAATTCTTTTTTTTAAGGCAGAATCTCGCTCTGTTGCCCAGCCTAGAGTATATAGCGAGATCTCAGCTCACTGCAACCTCCACCTCCCGGGTTCAGGAGATTCTCCTACCGCAGCCTCTCAAGTAGCTGGGATTACAGGCGCATGCCACCACACCTGACTAATTTTTGTATTTTTAGTAGAGATGGGGTTTCACCATGTTGGCCAGGCTGGTCTCGAACTCCTGGCCTCAATTAATCTGCCTACCTCGGCCTCCCAAAGTGCTAGGATTACAGGAGAGAGTCACTGTGCCCGGCCTGAACAGAGTAATTCTAAAATCTGGTTTAGAGGTTGTCAAAAACTCTCTGGCCTCAGGATCCCTTTATATTTTTAAAAAGAAAATTTAGTGGCAAGAGTAGCATTGTTTTACAGTTTTGCAAAACTTTAATGTCTGGCTGGATTCTTGTATCTGTTTCTGTATTTAATCTGTTGTGATAATCTCTTTAAGTGGAAGTATGTGAAGAAAATTTACCCTCAATATACACAGTTGGAGGAAAGGAAGAAAACTTTTAATAGTTTTTCTTGATAATTATAGATGTTCATCTCTGACTTTGTGCTATAGCTCAAAAAAGTGGTATTTTTTTAAAGGTTAGTAACAAAGTGATATCTGAAACCTTATCAACGAACTTTTGATACTCTGTTACATTAATATCCACTGGTCTATTTGAACTTTAAATGAATCTTGTGATATTAAACACTGGTCATTTGGAAAATATTGGTTCAGTGAGTTACGCAATGTTCCAAATGTTGACATATGTCAGTACACAATATTAAAAAATCACAACTGTTAATATCACCACCAATCTTTAAGCACCGGAAAGCTGTCAAGTTCAGAGTGGCAGATACATGATTTCCAAAATTCTATTTTTTGCTTGAAAACTCAAACGTTGTCATCAGTGACAAATACTGTCAGTTGTTTTCCTTGAAGTGACAGGATAGCATTCATTTTGAGAAAGTGTGTCTATCAAATACCACATCTGAATATTGATAGTTGTCTTTTGTTCAAGTAAAAATGCATTTCACAATAAAAGGAGCTAATTCAGCTTGCAACTCCGTCACGTGTTTTACTGGGAGATAACTGTTAGCACTTTGGTATGCCATAGAAGTGCTTTATGCATTTACCATTTCATCACAAGTAAACAGTAAAAGAATATGTAACAAAATGTTACGGTTCAATAAAATTATTTTCTATTGTTTCATGAATGAGATTTATAAGTGAACCTGATACTTCTATTTTTTTACTTCAAGTGTGTGGCAGTGAAGGCTACAATGACCACTAGTATAGTCTGGAGCCACTGCCTTGATTTATGCTAAGGTGCCAGAAATGTTACTCACCATCACTTCTGTACTACTAGCGCAAGTAGGAATACAATGAATAATGCCTTATTACGATTATAAAAATAATTTTGACTCCCTGAAAGGGTCATGGGGAGGGAACCCCCACAGGGTTCCATGAACTACACTTTAAAAACCACTGATCTAGATCAAGGAAGAGGACAGGATAGTTTGAAAGAAAAATTTGGCAATTTTGGAGAAGTCTTTTAGGAGTAGCAGTAGTAGACGGTCGGGAATTGGGTAGAGAATATAGATTCATCTCATATTTGCTGTCAAAACAGATGATATATTCTGGCCAAAACCATGAAAAATACGATTAAGAACGACAGCATGTAATTTAGAGCCAATTGTTACAACAAACACATTAATTTGTATTAGATCAGATTTTTATTATATATTATTACTATTTTTATCAATCATGATTTAGTCTTTGGACAAAGTGAGGAAACACTGAACTTTGTTACAATGGAGTTCAAAGTGAGCCTTTTTTGTGAGGCAAATTAAAACTTTCTTCAAAGGAAAATTCCTGATTAATTTATTAATCTTAATAAATATTTATGGAAGTATCAAGCAAATGCTTTAGGTAATAATGCAGCTGAAGGATTCAGCCTGTCACACGGGTAAGAAAAGAGCATTTTAAAATAGTATAAAGCAATAACTTATTACTATTTTTTGAGTCAGAGTCCTGCTCTGTCGCTCAGGCTGGGGTGCAGTGGCGCAATCACAGCTTACTACAGCCTCAACCTCCCAGGTTCAAGTGATCCTATGGCCTTGGCTCCCCAAAGTGTTGGGATTACAGGCGCGAGCCACTATGTCTGGCCAAAGAATTCTTTAGTATGAAAAAAAAAAAAGCAATTTAGGATAGACATTAGGGAACTGGCTGTGTACTAGCTGACTAATCAAAGCCACTGCTTTAGCATTATGAAAAGCTGACTGATACAAAGCACTTTGAATTCACTTCAAGTAATCTATACTAAGCAATGCTTAAACCAACTTAATATACAAAGTAAAACATGATCTCCATTTTTTAAATGTATATGTACCATTAAGCTCTAATATTAAATTGAGTGTTTAAGGAGTTATCTGAATATGCTATTATTGTTGGCTAGAAGATAAAGTTAACACTTTTATCCTCATGAACAACAGGATGAGCTTGATACAAAATTTCAGGTATGCCAGAAGACAGTAGGTGTAGAATTTGCAAGTGTGTAAAAAGCCAATAACAATGAATGTGGTCTAGGTCAGGCACAGTGGCTAACGCCTGCAATCTCAGCACTTTGAGAGGCCGAGGCCAGTGGATCACTTGAGATCAGGAGTTCAAAACCAGCCTGAGCATCATGGTGAAACCATGACTCTACTAAAAATACAGAAATTAGCCAGGTGTGGTGGTGCATGTCTATAATCCCAGCTACTCGGGAGGCTGAGGCAGGAGAATCACTTGAGTCCGGGAGGCAGAGGCTGTGGTGAGCTGAGATTATGCCTCTGCATTTCAGCCTGGGCAACAGAGTGAGACTCCGTCTCAAAACAAAACAACAACAACAACAAAACCAAAAACAACCAATAAAATACACGTGGTGTTAACCTACATGGAGAACTGATGAGATATGGTATCAAGCAGAGAATACAGAACGCATCTGCTGAAAAGAACTGCTCCTGTGTTCCTAAGAGATGAAGTGTTGCAATTAGGTATTTTTTATACATGAGATCTTAATGTTGTAAAATATTTTTATTTATTTTTTAAAACAAAATAGAGCTGCCTTGCTTACTTTCTCCTCATTCTTTTGTCTCTCACATTTAAAATAGTATACTAGAAAGAAAACACAGCATTTATAAGGTAGTGAGTTAACATAAAATGAGCAGCTATTTTACCTTAGGGTGATGGGCCCTGTGTCTGCGGTCTATTGTCACATCTCCTCTCTGAATTGGTGAAGACACTTCCGATCTGTAAGTTCGTTGAGGGGAGTATCCCTGATAAGCAGCTATTGACCCGTGGGATGGTGATGTGGGAATAGAGTGCATTGTCTGGTCAGAAATATTTACCATGGTTTTGGGACTACTCAAAGTACTGTGTCGAGGGAGGGTGCTCTGTTTATTATAAAACTGACGCTGCTGCCATTCGTAGAGCTGCCACATTGTGTCATCTCTCATGGACCTCCGTTTCTCCTCCGCTCCGGGTCCTAACGTCTTGTCATGAGTGGAAGGGGCTACACTGCAGATACTTTCAGGCCTTGTCTTGCTGTTTCTTGGGAGTGTTCTATAACCTTCAGGGTAGCGGGCCATAATCTGGGCTCTGTGGCTTGGCATATTTCTTGGTAGTGTTTGGTAAGAAATTACTCTAAAATAAAAAAATAATTAAAATGTAAACATGAAGAAGAGTTATTTTCCAAATTCTAAATTAGAGTACATTTCTTTTGTTTCAGTAAGTAAAACATATACTAGAATTCTTTTTTTTGGAGATGGAGTCTTGCTCTGTCACCCAGGCTGGAGTGCAATGGCGCGATCTTGGCTCACTGCAACCTCCGCCTCCCAGGCTCAAGCGATTCTCCTGCCTCAGCCTCCCAAGTAACTGGGATTACAGGCGTCCACCACCATGCCCGGCTGATCTTGAATTTCTGACCTCAGGTAATTCACCTGCCTCGGCCTCCCAAAGTGCTGGGATTACAGGCATGAGCCACTGTGCCTGGCTTAGAATGTATTTTTTTTAAAGATTGAAATATTATATAAGATATACACTATTAATAGATTTTAATCTTTTTATGAAATTCAATTTAACAAATTTAACACAGGATAAACAGCATCTATATCAATTACACAAAATATTATTAGTTCCACACAATGTACAGTTTGATTTAAAGATGAAAGACTATTATACTTCGTTTGAGAAATAAGAATGTTTAAAATCTAATCTCAATTCTGTCTCTGTATTTTATTTGTTCTTATATAAATAAAGTCTCATTTTCATACATCTCATCAGAGCACTATGATTTCTATGTATGGATGAAATATGAAGTGAGTTATAGAGCATAAGACAGGAGCATAAAGACAGGAAAGAAATTACTGCAAGTATATGTTGACTATTCTGTTGGATGTTTTCTTTCAGGAAGTATGGTTATTTATGGGAGTAAATACATCAGTACATTTGGTTTGAAGGAATAACTTCCTTTCATAGCTTTTCCTAACTTGAAATATAAAAATGACTTGGAGTTGACGCTCAGAATTCTATTAAAGATAAAATACTTAAATATCACAATATTTCAGATATAAAAGTGCAATCTCAGCAATTTTCTAATGTTTCCAGCACAGTAATTAATATTTCACTTCATAGATGGTGGAATATTTCTCAGGAGGCTTTTTAAAGCAATCTAAAAATGCTTCATGTACATTATGCATGCAAAGTATAGTTCTTTTAAAATGCTATTTTTGGGAATTGGAGATGTAATTGCATATTACTAAGCACAGAATATTACCATTTCCAAAAATCAAAGAATACAATTTCAGTTTACTACTTTTAAAAAAACCACTTTGATAAACACACTATTTTGAATTTATAAAACTATCACAGTGCCAACTTCATACTAGGTGAAATTCATGATATAAAAAAGATTTTTAAAAGTTAGTTAGGGGAGGAGTGAGCCAGAAAAAAAGAGTCAATTAAAAACTCTATGTAAAGTTAACATTTGTGTTTCTCTATTATCTTTTTTTTTTGTAGATAGCGTTTTGCTCTGCTGCCCAGGCTGAAGTGCACTGGCACAATCTCAGCTCACTGCAACCTCCGCCTCCCAGGTTCAAGTGGTTCTCCTGCCTCTGCCCCCTGAGTAGCTGGGACTACAGGCACCAGCCACCAAGCCCAGCTAATTTTTTGTACTTTCATAGGTTTTGCCATGTTGCCTAGGGTGATCTCGAACTCCTGAGCTCAGGCAATCTGCCCGCCTCAGCCTCCCAAAGTACCAGGATTATAGGAGTGGGCGCCCGGCCTCCTATTTCCTTTAGATACAGAAGTGTAGGTATAATCCAAATTCTAAATACAAACATACCTTTTTTTTTTTGAGACGGGTTCTCACTCTGTCACCCAGGGTGGAGTGCAGGGGAGTACACTGCAGCCTCATCCTCCTGGGCTCAAGTGATCTTCCTGCCTCAGCCTCCTAAATAGCTAGGAATACAGGTATATGCCACCATGCCTGGCTAATTTTTTATTTTTCCCAGACATAACATTTTAACCACCACCACCACAAGAAACATCTAGATTAAAAAAGCAAGATTAGGCTGGGTGCGGTGGCTCACACCTGTAATCCCAGTATTTTCGGAGGCTGAGGAGGCAGATTGCTTGAGGCCAGGAGTTCGAGACCAGCCTGGCCAACATGGTGAAACCCTGTCTCCACTAAAAATACAAAAATCAGCCAAGCATGGTGATGTATGCCTTAGTTCCAGCTACTCGGGAGGCTGAGGCAGAAGAATCGCTTAAACCTGGGAGGTGGAGGTTGCAGTGAGCTGAGATCGTGTCACTGCACTCCAGCCTGGGTGATAAGACAGAGACTCTGTCTCCAAAAAATAAATAAATAAAATAAAGAATATGAAAAGGCAAGATTAAATTACAAGTATTCACCTTATACTATCATCTCCATGGGCATAAATTTATATCCTAACATCAAAATCAACATAATTCAATGAACTAAGTGTGTGGAAGGGTTGGGACTCTACAAACTCAGGTTTCCTGATCTCCTCTTTCAATGGTTAGTTAACAACTTTTCCCTAATATTACATGGGCCCTTACTGGTTGTGAAAATGTCAGAGATATTGGTAATTACATGGACCAGAAGGGATTAAAGATTTGATGGGAAAATTATTTGAACATACTCTCAATAATCTGGGAATCCTTCGCTGATAATCTGGATATAAGAGCTCTCTTTTGAGCCAAATACCTGTCAGCAACAATGCACAAATACTGCTATATTATAGTTACAAAAAGATTTCAGGCTGGGTGCAGTGGCTCACCCCGGTAATCCCAGCACTTTGGGAGGCCAAGGCGGGTAGATCACTCAGGAGTTCAACATAGCAAAATCCCATCTCTACAAAAACTAGAAAATATTAGTCGGGCGTGGTGGCATGCTCCTGCACTCCCAGCTACTTAGGAGGTTGAAGCAGGAGAATTGCTTGAACCCGGGAGGCAGAGTTTGCAGTTGCAGTGAGCTGAGATTGTGGCACTCCAGCCTGGCAACAGAGGGAGGGCTCTGTCTCCAAAAAAAAAAAAAGAAGAAAAAAAAAGATTTCATTGTGATGAGGTGTAATGAATTGAGTGCACTGGACTATGAGGCACCCAATTAATAAACCGCCTGCATAATTGGTATCTATTGGGGTAGTAAAATTATGTTACCTTTATACTAAGAGAAAATCTCACGTTAAATATACCTTCTCTTTGTGGGTTAAAGCATCCAGAGGGGATATAGTGGGAAAACAGTAAAGCAGGAAAAGTGGTTGATCAAAAATCAAGACAGCCAAGTTTTGATTCCTGCTTTCCTATTAAGTACTTAGACCTTAGATAAGTTACATATTCTGGGGCCTTCAGAATATTGGGGGCAGGGTAGGGGAGTAGGGGAGAAAAGACCAAGAGATTTTATATATATATAAAACACTTTCCAAGCTAAGCACTGTACTAAGTATTGGGGATAAAAAGAAAAAAAAAGTAAAAAGGTTATATAGCATGCTGGGGGATGTACACATGTCAACAAATCACGACAATACGTTGTATGAAGATTGTCTAATAGAAGCATATGAAAATTACCCTATGGATATTTCAGGATGTCAGTATAGCCAAATATATATATATATATATATATTTTTTTTCCTGAGATGGAGTCTCTCTTTGTCATCTAGGCTGGAGTGCAGTGGCATGATCTCCGCTCACTGGACCTCTGTCTCCCGGGTTCAAATGATTCTCCTGCCTCAGTCTCCCAAGTAGCTGACAGGTGCCTGCTGCCACGCCCAGCTAATTTTTATATTTTTAGTAGAGACGAGGTTTCACCATGTTGGCCACGCTGGTCTTGAACTCCGCACCTCAGGTGATCCACCCACCTCGGCCTCCCAAAGTCCTAGGATTACAGGTGTGAGCTACCACGCTTGGTCCAAGAGATCATACTTGGGGTTACAGAAAGAGCTTGTGGGCTAAACAGAACTAAAATGCAGGTCTCCTACTTTCTAAAGCAGTACTCTTTTAACTATGCCAGCGATCCCTAAACTTTTGGATTAAAAAAAAAAATCCCTCTATTTTAAAATTTTGCCTAAGATATGAATATTATTTTTAAAAAATCATACTCATCTATTACAATGACTTAAACATAAAAAGGCATTAAAAATTAGGAAGGATATAATCTTATAGTACCAGAGAGCCCTTTATATGCTATTAAAATCTAGCCAATGGCCAACTGATACTGGGATCCTCTTTTTTCATCTAGAAGATGATTTCATCATAAACTTACTCTAGAGCTCTAAAATTCTATGCCTTATTTTTTTTTAAAAATATTTCTAATTCTTTCAACCATTTCTCCTAAACTAAATTTCCTTCATCATGCTGGTTGTTCTTCAGGATTTCAATGTCTCTACTCAAAAAGAGGTTGTTCAAAATTGAACAAAATGTCTCCAGGCAAGAACCACTGCATTCAGGCCAACCATCTGATGCCTTCAGGGGTGGAGAGAGGGAGAAAGGTACCCAATTGCTCTTATATAACCAGTATAAAGAGTTCAACTTCTTGAGGCTTTCCCTCCATGGGTACTTCCCATTTTGTTTCTGCTTGGTCTTCCTCCCCATCTTCACCTTCTCTGATCACATTAAAGCCAGAAACTGGAAAACATCCAGAGCTGGCAACCCCATGACTCTGTGCAAATATGTCAGCTAGGGAAAGCTGACTCCATCAAAGAGACTGCCCTAGTACAAAAGCAATTTACCCTGACACACCTTGGTTTATCTGGTCATTCACAAATTCAAGAAATACTACAGTAGGCTTAATATGCAAAAAGCTAGAGATTAAGCACTGAGCTATATCATAGAAACATGTAAGGAAGGGGACATACATCATCAATCTAAAACACACCCAAAATTGCTTATAAGCTAATGTCGAAATTATAGTTCAAAAACATAATTACACTAAAACACTTCTGTCAAGCGCTCTGAAATATTCATAATGCGTGGGTTGGGCCCTGTTGTAGAGATGTATATTGAACCTGAACTGTCAACTATCATATGATCATTAATAGCAGGATATGTATATTTTTAGTAAGCTTGGTTAATTAATGACATTAAAAGGCTCTTCTGTCATCTTTGGAACCACATTTGGGGAATTTTAATTAAAAATTAAATTATTATCAAGCAAATTTATTTTTATCCCATATATTTCTAGCACTTTGAGACCTGTTTTTCAAAACTACAATTCCCTTTAGTGACTTTTTTCCCCAAAGAAATTCAAATTAAGCAAAGTGTGATTTACTTTTAACTGAAAGCTTAAGAAATGAACACTCTAAGCTCCTGCATCAGATTTAGTGCCCTATTGACCAGAAGCTGCCTGTCAAGCACCATAAAAACCCTTTCCCTGTGATTTTGCCATGCAGAAAAATGGCTTAAGGACCATGCATCTTAACAGTGCCTGCCACTCAGAATGAAACTTTAAAGCTTTGTTCACAGATGTAGGGATCTACTATTTGACTAAATATTAAACCTTTTTCTTCCTATCAGAACTTTAATAATAAAAGGCTTTCATAAAGCTTTTTAAAAAATGATTTAGATATTGAATTACAATTATGTTTCTTTCCATCAATAAAAAATCATTTCATTATAAAACACTACAACTATTTTTATAATGAAGTTTATATCATAATGTAGATGATATTTTCTTATGATCCAAAGTAGACTCAAGCCATTTCAAAAGAACATCTAAATAACAGTATTTATAAAAACTGGCATAACAGTTAACCCAAAAATGTAGGAGGAACCCAGAGAAAACCTTAGCTCAAAATAACCTAAAACCAGCCTTCAGAAGCTGTTGGTCTATGTCCAAAAGAAAGAAGTCACAGAAAGACTTTACTGATATTAATTATTCATAAAGGAACCTAAAACCAGTATTTATACTTAACAATTTTTAAAAAATCCTCTAATTTCAAGATATCTGTTGACTCTCTACATACATTTTTAAACTTAAGAAAGTATGATTTTTGGGGAAAAGTGATTCTTCTTTGAAGTGAGATTTAACGTGGTGAGCAGAGACTCAGCAATCTTCTGATTTAGATTTTTATTATTTTCCTGAAAGTCATTACTTTCCCAAGTACTTTCAAACATCCTTTCATTTTTTCCCCCCAGAACTGCTTCCTGCTTCTGTCTAATCAATTGTATTAATTTCTTTTCCTGCTAGTAATATACGAGCTTATTCATGTTTGTCATTCCATCCAACATTAAGTAATCTAATTTTTATTCACCTGTGCCTTTATTAATTCATTTATTTATGATTTTGGTCAATCTGGTAAGTGAAAAATAATGCCTAATTGATTCCTTAATGTCCAATTCCCTGATTACTGCTAAATTTGAGCATTTGCCAGTTCTTTTTAAAGAAAATTGACAAATAAGATTGTACATATTTATGGTGAACAACATGTTTTGAAATATATGTATTGTGGAATGGCTAAATCAAGCTAATTAACATATGCATTACCTCACATAACCCATCCAACAACTATCTTCTCTTTCCCCAAATCTTTTCTTTGCAGTAAAAGGCACCAAATCACCCTAGCTGCCCAGGCCAAAAAGGCAGGGTGTCATTCTTGATTTCCCTCAAGAAACTTCCAGATTGGAGTGCAGTGGCGCAATCCTGGCTCACCGCAACTTCTGCCTCCCGGGTTCAAGAGATTCTCCTGCCTCAGCCTCCTGAGTAGCTGAGATTACAGGTGAGCACCAAAATGTCTGGTTAATCTTTGTATTTTCAGTAGAGATGGGGTTTCACCATCTTGACCAGGCTGGTCTCGAAATCCTGGCCTCAATTGATCCACCTGCCTTGGCCTCCCAAAGTGCTAGGATTACAGATGCGAGCCACCTCGCCCGGCACCAAACTTAATCTTGAGCAAGACGGGTTTGCAGTCAAGCACATCAAAGCAACCAACTAGACTTGTCAATTATATCCTGAATACATCCTCTTCCTCTTCTCACTTCAATCACTTAAGTAACTTTTGAACTTTCTACAATTTACTCTCCAGATTTCTGAGACACCAATCTGAATCTCTCTCTCCTAGCTTATGTCTCTAGCCTTGTTCTTCACTCATTGTTTCCCCAGTTACAACCAAGTCATACTGGATTTCTTTTGATTCTTCTGTTCTCTACTAACCCTGGAGCTTTGCATATTTAAGCCCTAACATGCATGTCATTCTTCGTATCACAGCTTGTGTTTTGCTTCCTCTACAAAGGTTTTCCTGGACTCTGAATCCTTAAGATTGTGTTGGTTATCCGAAATGTGTTCCTACAGCACCCTGGTCTACCTTCATTGTATCTGTCATACTAAATTGCATCTACTTATTCAACTGTCTCCTCTAGTACAGAATTATCTTTGTGAGAACCTGGACTGTATCTTTTCATTATTTTACTTTGTGGTCTCACAATTAGCAAACAGCAATTGTACAATAAATATATTAAGAAAAAGTGCATGCAAAAATGAATAAATGCTCACATAAATACATTTACTTTTCATTTTTTTTAGAGTTGGGTTCTCACTGTGCTGCCAGACTGGAGTGCAGTGGCACAGCCATAGCTCACTGCAGCTCCCAACTCCTGGGCTCAAGCAATCCTTCTACTTCAACTTTCCCCAAGTAGTTGGTACTACAGGCATGCAACACTATGCTTGACTAATTTTTAAAAATTTTTTCAGAGATGGGATCTTGCGAGGTTGCCCAGGCTGGACTCAAACTCCTGGCCTCAAATGATTCTCCTGCTTTGGCCTCCCAAAGTGCTGGGATTATAAGCACAAACAACTGCTTCTGGCCTTGTATGTAATAGTTATATGCATTCTTATTTAAAGAAAGCCCAAGAATAAGACTGAAAATTAGGGAGCAGTAGGCCTTTGCTGCCTCCATATTACTTGTCTCAGAAGATCCTTACATTGTACCAAGCTGCAGAAACTGGTAACGGAGGACAGTCAGAGAAGAGGTGATAATGGCAGGGGACAAGACAGGGGTGAGTTGGGAGGATAGGGCTTCCTCCCTCCCTCTCCCAAATAAACTCGATCTCTACCTGTAACCCAAGCCTTTTCTCGTGCTTGAACAGGTAGGATGACTCCTTGCCACTAACAAAGTTGAGTGACAGAACATAAGAGACAGAGAATAAATACTTACATCTGATCATCATAAACAAAAGACATAGTAATGAAGCTGTAATAGCTAAAACACAATTTAAACCAATATTTTAATCAGTAGCTCAGAAACCAATCTCCACCAACACAGCATTAAAAAAACCTGGGTTCATAATAACAAGACATATACTTACCCTCTGGTTTCTTCTTCATGACCCCTCCCCTTCTGGATTTTAATCCACTGTTCCAACTGCTGCATTGAATTTGTTCTCTGTATGACTCGATCAGCCTCTGTGTATAAGGGCCCTGTACTGGGGCGATTTCCACCTCTAAGATCTGCCAGGCTAACATTGACTATTTTGTTCTCTGAACTATTCAAGTTGACTGGTCTGTAGTGTGCAGTTTGAGCAGGGCATGCTGACCCACTCTCATATTCAGATGGCAGAGAATTCAGCTTTACACTATTAATTTTTGTTAACGGTCTATCTTGACCATCCTTCTGAAATCCGTATTTTTCAGCTTCTAATGCCTTTTTTTCTTCAATTTTGCTCATTTCCTTGTTTTTTTGATTGTTTTGGATCTCTGGTTTAATTAGAACTCTATGGTTGGGAATGTTATTGCTTTCCTTAGTTGGTGCATTTTCAGATGTAATCTTGTCCACTCTGAAATCAGAGAAGAAAATCATAGTAAATCAGATGAAATAATGCACATATTACTTCTGGGATTCAATCTAGGAAAAATTCTACTTTATGGGGGTGGGGACAAGGGGACTGGAAAGGGTTACAGTGGACAAGTCTACACAAATACCCAATGCTGTGATATTAACATTCAAGCACAACACCAGAATGTATAAACAGAAAGGGGGGAAAAAGAAAACATAAAAGAACTAGAGGGTAAAAAGTGATGTGTGCTCCCACCATTAGGAATCTGAAAATAAAGCAAATTAAGACTGCCTTAAGACAGTTAAACCACAAAATCTACACTTCTTGTTGACTCATGAGACAAACATGAGTCTGGTTGTGGAAATGGCTGCAACAGGAAATTACAGTCTGATGCTATCAAAGATCTGAACCATATGATTAACTCCTTTTGTCTGTATTCAAGAGGAACTCAGTATGATTTTAGAGCTCTTGAAGTCTGACTGCACATGTCCGGCTTGCAACTCTGTTCTTACTAGCTGTGTCTTCAGGCAAAGTACAGAACACTTAAAGTGCCTATGCTTCCTCTTTGGTAAATGGGTATGATTATGTCACCAAGATCAGAGGGTTCTTGTGAGAATCAGATGAGTTAATAAGTGGCTGGCACAGACCTTACTACCATCATAATTCTATCACATCAAGCAATCTTGGGTTAGAATCTGGCATCCCATGTCCACTTGGCCACCGAAAGAATGAGCTAGTTAACAGCATGTGTCTAGGTCACTTGACAGTTGTACTGCTCACTAATCACTTCCAGACTCTGAAAAGATCAAGCTGAGTGTCTGAACCTGCACGAAACTGCCAAGATCATGCCACTCTAGGAGGCCTCTCAGGAGCCAGCCAACCCTCCATATTCCAATAAATAAAAATGCTTCTATCAGAAACTAGGTTTGGTAATGCTGTCAATGTTTATGATGTGTGGAAAAGATGTAGATCTACATACATATATCTGTAATCAACTATAGATGAAGATAGCTAGAAAGTTTGGAATATGGTCACTGAGGCAAAAAAAAAAAAAAAAAAGGTGACTATCTTTCTTGGAGTAAACTTATGAACCATCCATATATTTAGGTTAGATATAAACCATAGCTTCTAGATTGGAGGCAACATTAGAATTGGGAAAATTTACTAAGATAGACTATGTGCTTCTTTCTCTTGAAAAATAAAAGTTGGCCAGCGGTGGCAGCTCATGCCTGTAATCCTAGCACTTTGGGAGGCCAAGGTGGGTGGATCACCTGAGATCAGGTGTTTGAGACCAGCCGGGCCAAAATGGTGAAACCCAGTCTCTATGAAAAATAAAAAATAAAAATTAGCCGGGCATGGTGGTGGGCATCTGTAATCCCACCTACTTGGGAGGCTGAGGCAGGAGAATTGCTTGCACCTGGGAGGCAGAGGTTGGAGTGAGCTGCGATTGTGCCACTGCACTCCAGCCTGGGCGACAGAGTGAGACTCCATCTCAAAACAAGAACACCACAAAGGCTGCATAGAAAATTTACCCTAAAAGCACGTGTATCCTTGCTATTTGGGAGGGCAGGAGTTTTAACATTAAACATAAAATAACTGAAAAGATTTTTAAACCATAATTACTGTAGTCTATCTAAAGCTACTATTATTACTGCCATCATGATTATTATCATTATTATTTGAGACAAGGTTTCTTGCTCTATAACCCAGCGGGGAGTTCAGTGATGTGATCACGGCTCACTGCAACCTCAACTTTCTGGGTTCAAGTGATCCTTCCCTCTTAGCCTCCTGAGCAGCTGGGACTACAGGTACAAGCCACCACACCCAGCAAATTTTTAAATTTTTTGGGGGACGGGGTTTCACTGGTTGCCTAGGTTGATCTTGAACTCCTTGGCTCAAGCCATCCTCCCACCTTGGCCTTCTAAATTGTTGGGGTTACAAGCGTGAGCCACCATGCTCGGCCTAAAGCTATTATTTTAAATTAAAACTGTGGCGCATTTTTTTTTTCTTTTTCCCCAAGATTTATCATTGAAAAAGTCATCAAAAGGACACATATGATGACTTTTCTCTAAATAGAATAAAGCTGACTCAGAAAAGTATGCTAAGGTACCATAAATAATATAAAACTTGTGATCTAATTTTAAAAAGTGACACTTAAGTTATTGCAGAAAATACACTGAGATATATAAAATGAAAATAATGGGCTTAGAGATGAAAATTATTCAGAGAATCCATATTATACTTAGATTTTTTTTTTTTTTATTTTGGCCATCAATGATCTGCACACTAGGAGACTATGACATTGTAGTGAACAGGTGAAATACTTTATAAAGTTAGGGAAAATGAACTCTCAAGTTAAAAACTGGATGTTCTATTAGAGTGATATGCTCTAATAAATATTTTAAGTATTTGGGTCATACAGCAAAATGAGTGCATTAGTTTAAAACCCAGCAAACAAAATCTCTCTATACTGACTTTCACTTTGAATGACTAAATCTAATGGGGTGGGATAAAAATTCCAACAACTAGGAGTAGAAGAAAACATGTAATTTCTACAGGATAATGGACGCTAAGCTGGGCACACAGGTGGTATTAATAAACCTTGTCTGAGTAGATTACACTAACACAGACGGCTGAAAATTGTATAAGCACATAACCAGTGAACTATCAGGTTGCCAAAAGACAAGCCAAACAATTGTCATCTTTATCATCCCAAATTATGAGTAATTATTAGTTTTTAGAGTGGGAAATTTAATAAAATAAAGTAGAAACATGCTGAAATTCAGAGAAAAGTATAATATACAATATTGAAATTATTTGGACAGAAAATTTTAATTATTATACAGATTTCTGTATTCTAAACAATTCCTTAACAATTTTGCTTGGAAGTTAAACTATGGAAGTTATATTTTTATTTTTTTTGAGAGGGTCTCACTCTGTTGCCTAGGCTGGAGTGCAATGGAACAGTCACAGCTCATAGCAGCCTCAACCTCCTGATTCAAGTGATCCTCATGCTGCAGCCTCCTGAGTATCAGGGACTACAGGAGTGTGGTACTATGCCTGGTTAATTTTTGTATTTTTGGTACAGATGGTGTTTCATCATGTTGCCCAGGCTGATCTCAAAATCCCGGACTCAATTGATCCCTCAACCTCCCAAAGTGCTAGAATTACAGGTGTGAGCCACCATCTTAGCCTGAAGATTTTAAATGAATTATTTTCACCTACACATTTTCTCTTGTTATCAGTGCTAACCACCTCATCTTTATGCTACTCAGGTAATTTTTACACATGTAACTCCAAAAACAGATTTTCCTTCTATTTGTTCTCATCCTGGAATATGCATGTGGCAAAAGTGTTTTTTCTTAAAAATAGATGTCCTAGAGCTATATCCTAGACCCTCTTTTCTTTTCAGTTTTTCCCCAGTTCTAATTACTAGTGATTGGGTAACTTGATTTAGACTTGATATTTACAGAAATGGCACAAATACACAGCATCAACCTAAGTCTTTCAGCCAAAAAGCCAAGACTTTATTAAAATGCACACTAGAATAAGAAAAACAAAGGACTAGATGTATATTGTAACAATCCCTAATTTCCTGAGAAGAGGGAAAAAAGGCTAAACTTGCACAATAGCATCTTTCTTATATAAGATATGTGCTGAGCTGTCACTGACTGGAAGAAAAATTAACTTGCATCATAATTTTTTCTTCAAATTACAGGAATATATATATATATTTTAAAAAGCACATTATACTACTTGTATTTATGTAGTCTGAGAATCAGATTTCCTCTAGCTAGATATATTGAAGAATATTAAAATGATTCATATCTTCAAGCAGGGAAAAACACATGGGTCAATTTTAACAGCACTTATCTATATTATTCAAGGAATCTGAGTAGTGGAGTTTCAATATAAAAAAGGCACAATTCATCAAGAAGTGGATTTATTTGGAACCAATCTAAATGCTTGATGAACTATTTTCTGGAGACATTCACTACAAAACAAAAATTAATCAGAAATGTTGAAAAAATGAAACTATCAAAATTTCTTACTGTAATTTATTACACTTTAGAAATATCAACACACTATTATAGAAAAACACAACTTAACTTCATAAAAATAAACTCTCTTCTAAGATTTAGAATCTTAAAAACACTATCTCAAAGGATAAAAATCTGTGTAGCTTTAAGGTAACAATTAAAAACGTACTCACCGGAAATTAAAGGTAATTCTGTAAGAAGAAAGAACATTCAGTTTGAATGTTAGGATTCTGCATTCACCCCAGTACACTGATAGGTGAAAATGAATAAAGAAGAAAAAGAAGAAAAGTGGAATAAAAATGTAGGTGGTATTGCAAACTAACAAAATGTGTATTAATTTAATTCAGAACAGGAATTGATCCCTGCTTTCTGAGAAAAAAATGATTTCATACCATGACTATTAAAATGATATGTACTATGACAGTGAAATACTTGCAAGGCATGGAATAAAATAGAAGTGGAAATAACCATCATTTTTTTCTACAAGCCTTTACCTTTTCACAGGTTCTGTCTGTACCAGGGCAGCATCTAACATGGCTTTCATCCACAACTCCATTTCCTTTCCTGTATCAGTGCAGAAATAATAGGTCCGCATGTTTGGATGGGCTGCCTGATTGAAAATGACACGATCATTTTAAATAAAAATATAGGATTCTGTAAAAGAAAAAGAAAAAAAGATAAGTGATTCCTGACATAGAACATTGCTATCAAATTTCAGAGTAGACTTATCTTTTATATGAGATACGGAAATCAATCAAAAAAAATACAGCTATTAACTTGAAAAATATATATTAATTTCCCCCCCTAACTTCACCCTTTTTCTTTTAGTTGTGTGCACACTCTAAAATTAAAAAAAAAAAAAAAGTGCATGGAAAGGAAAGGAGGTGAGAAATGAAGTACTTAGTGGTGCCTCTTCCATCTCCACATTTCTAACAACTTCCATTTACTGCAATTCATACCTCTTTTTTTTTGAGACAGAGTGTCATTCTGTTGCCAAGGCTGGAGTGCAGTGGCACCATCTTGGCTCACTGCAACCTCTGCCTCCCTGGTTCAAGCAATTCTCCTGCCTCAGCATCCTGAGTAGCTGGAATTACAGGCATGTGCCACCATGCTCAACTAATTTTTGTATTTTAGTAGAGACGGAGTTTTGCCATGTTGGCCAGGCTGGTCTTGAACTTCTGACCTGAAGTGATTTGCCTGCCTCAGTCTCCCAAAGTGCTGGGATTACAGGTGTGAGCCACCATGCCCAGAATAAGAATATTTATTTAAGAATAAATATTCTTTATTCAAGAATATTCCCGGCAACCAGCAACAAAATTAATAGGAATGTACATGTTATGGCATTTCCCTCCTATGTAACCAATTTCTTTAGGCGTCAAAAGGCACTGCTGTATTTTATAGGATCCTTTAAAGATATCTACAACCAAACACAAAAGATTTATAAATGATCCAAAATGGTGTTTCCTTTTTGAGCTGTTCCTTAATAAACTGCTCAAATGTTCTATGTTAAGATAATTAAAACCACCTACAAAGTGTTACTGGACCCTCTGAGTGGGGTTTTGGAAAAATAAAGACCACTGCCCATATTTGTGATCAATCTAAGGAACACTGGGGCTGGTGTCAAGACGATCCAGTTCCAGCCATGACTCAAGACACTAAGAGTCCCCACCCATGCTCGCCATCAGTCAAATGGAAATATTTACTAGATGATGTCAAAGTACGCAGTCTAGCTTTAAGTTCCATGCTTATGTTCAATAATTGTCTATAAAGTTTCTACTTACCATTCTGATAAGCACTTGCATCAATGTCAACAAACTTAGCAGTGAAGCAGCTCACACATTCAGAGGAAACAATACCACAGAAGAGAGAAAGTGAAACAGCAATTACTATTCTTGTTACAGATAAAATTAAAACTAAACCAAATAATTGCAGAGAAAATATACTTAACATGCATGGTCACTTTTATTGCTATTTTAGCATTGTAGTATTTTTTGAGTCTAAAAATGCAGAAAAAAGTCCTACAAATAGCACAAATTGATAAACATTTGCTAAACTGATAAGCAACAAAAAAATTTAAATTCATGGCCAAATAATAGTGCTACTATCATGCACCTCTACATGTGTACTTCATAAAGTTATAATTTTCAATTTGCAAAGTGTTAACCTTTGTTATAACATCATAAAATATTTAATTATGTTTCTCTGGTTTACACTGTTGATAAAAGTTTATTTTGATAAAGTTAATTTAAATATGAAAATACTCCCCTCTTATCCTCAGGTCTTTGCTCAAGTTACATTACCTTCTCATTGAGGCTGTCCATCACACAACCCCTTAACCTCACCACTATACCTTTCCTGTTCATACCCGGCTAATTTTGTATTTTTAGTAGAGACGGGGTTTTTCCATATTGGTCAAGCTGGTCTCGAACTCCTGACCTCAGGTGATCTACCCGCCTCAGCCTCCCAAAGTGCTGGGATTACAGGTATGAGCCACCGCACTTGGCTTTTTTTGGGGGTCAGCGGGGGCGGGGGTGGGGGTGGGGAGGGAGTCTTGCTCTGTCACCCAGGCTGGAGTGCAGTGGTACGATCTCGGCTCACTGCAACCTCCGCCTCCCAGGTTCAAGCGATTCTCCCACCTCAGCCTCCCCAGTAGCTAGGACTATAGGCAAGCACCACAATGTCTGGTTAATTGTTGTATTTTTAGTAGAGATGAGGTTTCACCACGTTGGCCAGGCTGGTCTCAAACTCCTGACCTCAGTTGATCCTGACCTGCCTCGGCCTCCCAAAGTGCTGGGATTACAGGCATGAGCCACTGCTCCCAGCCTGCTAATGTAACATATTAATTAGCAAAAGTTGTAAATCAGCCTCAGTATTCTTTAAAAGTGATGCGAATTTAAAATTGAATCAATTTTATAATGGTATAAACATTTTCATTGTTAACTAGCAGCAGTTCCCCCCTCTTTTCTCTTAAAATGAAATTTCTGCAAGAACCTTATAGTTCTTACTCTAAAACAGACTGAAAAACTAGGTGACCTCTGAAATTTATTTTAGCCATAATCATGAAGCAAAGAATCCAAAATGATTTTTGAAAACAAAAATCTCCAAAAATAGCACTGAAGACCTCTTACTTGAGAGTGATCCACAAACCAGTAATATCACAAAGATTGGTGGGTACTGTTAATCAGGGGGATCTCAGGTCTGCTTGGATTTAATAACAGCAGATTTCAGATCTCAACTTCAGTGGTCTCTGTAAAGTACCTGATGATCACGATGTACTTAGACCCAAGAACATCTTGAACATCTTTGCCATTATTCTCTAAGTTTTTCAATAAATGTACATATATGTACATTTACTAAAAAAAATTATTGTCTCTTATAGTACTCTTCCTCCAAATTTATTAATAATAATTATTATTAATACAGGGTCTCACACTGTCACCCAGGCTGAACTATAGTGATGCAAATCTTGGTTCACTGCAACCTCTGCCTCCCGGGCTCAAGTGATCCTCCCACCTCAGCCTTTTGTGTAGCTGGGACTACAGGCACACGCCACCACACCTGGCTAATTTTTGTAATTTTAGTAGAGACGGGGTTTTATCATGTTGGCCAGCCTGGTCTTGAACCCCTGGGTTCAAGCTCTCTGTCCGACTCGGCCTCCTAAAGTGCTAGGATTAACAGGCATGAGCCACTGTGCCTATCCTATTAATAATTTTTTTTCGAGACAGGGTCTTACTGTGTTGCCCAGGCTGGACTGCAGTGGCATGATCATGTCTCACTACAGCCTTGGCCTCCCAGGCCCAAGTGGTCCTGTCACCTCAGCCTCCTAAGTAGCTGGGACTAGCCACGACACCCGGCTAGTATGGTTTTTTTGTTTGTTTTGTTTTAGAGACAGGGTCTCACTATGTTCCCCAGTCTCAACTCCTGGACTCAAGTGATCCTCCCACTTCGGTCTCCAAAAGTGTTGGAATTACAGGTGTCAGCCACTGTGCCCAGACCCCAAATTTATTATTAAAAAATTCAAACATAGAGTAACCTTGAAAGAATGCATAATAATCACCAGGACATCCATAATTATATTCATCAATTATTAGCATTCTGACATGTTCATTTTATCTCAAACCATTTGAAAGCACAGACATGAAGACACTTGATCCCTAAATATTTTAGCATGTGCTTCCTAATTAGAGGGACATTCTTCTATACAACCATAAGACAATTAATTAATATATTTTAAATACAAAAATCACTATAACTAAGATAGCTTTTTGTAATAATCTATGGCTCAATATCCATTTTTAACCAACGCAAGTTTTGAACAGAATTAAAAACTGTATTATTTCCTTACCTTAAAAGCATATTTGCGATTAATGTGATCTTCAGAGGTAAGCAAAGCTATTTGAAAACTAGGTAACAGTATGCTTCCCAGGATACCCTCTTCTTTCTCATCTAGGAGATTTAACATCTGATTAGAATTTTAAATGTTCTCACAAAGCAAAGTTTTTCAAGATCTATTTTTGCCAAATCGAAAGGTTCTTGTATATAAATGAACTATATTCATGTTTAGGCAGGACTTTATAAGGTTTTAAATGAAAATACCAAATAGCACAAGAATTTATACTTTGGTAAATATACTGCATTCTACAAATCCCCTTTACGTGTCATTCACTGAAAATATACTGGCATGTAAGTAATGGCATTAATCCACTCACATCTCTGATAGGATTTAAATGCTCAACCATTCTAACCCCAGACACATGGCTTTCTTGGTTACACCCTTCAGGCTTTGCTCAAAGGTCTCATCAATGAGGCCTTCCTTGACTACTGTATTCCTTGACTACTGATGTTAAAATGCTATTTATTTAACGTTTTCTCTGTTCTCCTTTGGGAATGTTAACATTTCCGACTCTCAATACCGCCGGCATACTATATGTTTCAGCTATTTATTTGCTTATTATCTTTTTCTCCATGCTAGAATGTAAGTTCTATAAAGACACTTGGAATGACAGTAGTAGATGCTCAAAAAATTTTGTTGAATAAATGAAGACACATGTGAATACATATTTAAACTATCCTATAAAAATTATATGCTTTTTAAAACATTTAACTTTGAAGGTTTGCTTTTACTATCATTCTGATACACAATAGTATGACTAAATTACAGGCCTACAAGGCAAGCACATAAAATATACCTAGGAAAATGATAAACATTAATCTTGACACAGTATAGATTCACAAGATTAACTTGCTGCTTGGGGGAAGAGATGTTTATGAAACTTGAAATATGTACTTCATTGTTATAGACCTATAAGACAAGTTAATAAAGCTGTGTCATCAGGCTAATAAACTCACCAAGGAGAAACTATAAATGGGAAATCTTTTTATTATGCTTGCTGTGTGTGCTTCTTTTTTTTTTCCCTAATTATCAAAAACTTAACAAGGGATTTTATTTATTTCGTCCTCATTTCCAGAGTATCTGGTGAAACATCCAAAAGGGAAAAAGTTATATTAAATGGAGGCTTTTTTTAGTAGCTTTTCTCATAGCAATGGAACAAAATTTTGTTTTTACTATACTGTGCTCATTCAGGTACAAATCACTAATATGTAAAAGAATGAACGAAAGTATAGATTTAATCCAAAAGGTTAAAAAGAGTTGGAAAGCAGTCATGAATTACAGAGAATGTGACAATTTAAAAGAATAAGTCAAACCCTAATTTTGAATCCAATTTTATGTTTTATGTTTATATAAAGGGTATAGTCAGAAACAGTACATGAAGTCATCTTTATTAAAAAATCATTTTAACCAAATAATACATCCTTCTATGTTCCGTAATAAAATAATCTTTCCTAAAATTGCTTCAGAATAGACAGAGGCACTAAAGCACAGGGTGATTTCCCTAGATTACCTGACGCAGTTTTCCTGCTGCCCAGCACTAACTAGCTGTGAAATCCTAGCCAAGTTATTGATGCTTAGTATCTGTTTTAAGATCTATAAAACTGAGGACAATAGGACTTACCTCAAAAGGTTGTTGAGGGTTAAATGAGTTAACACATATAAAAAACTCAGCACAGAGGGTGAAGCATTAAATAAATATTGCCATTATTATATAAAATTAAAGACAGTGCATATAAAAATATCTTCGCCTGTCAAATGACTACCCTGAGTTCTTCAGCTTCTTAAACTGCTTCTAATCATGACCTTCTTCTGTTTAGTTCTATATCAATCCTGACTGAAGCACTGTCCTAGTTTCCATCACCTAGAGAGCCTCATAGACTGACAGAGAGTAAGTACTGAGTAATGTTTGTAGAATGAAAGAACTCTCCACGGGGTCAGCCAAGGCCTTTCTGAGATTGCATGGCAGCCCATTTTCTTTTGTCTCTGCCATTTCCTTCCTTCACTTTGCCACAGCTGATGGTTCCAAGAACAACACTCTCCAAAAAGCTTTCTACATATTAATCTCCATCATGGAGTTTGCTTCCTAGGGAACACAACCTGGGACAGGAGCCAGGAGAATCTCAACATTTTACTGGATACAAGTGACATTTTAGATTCCCCATTTCTACTTAGTTTTAAAGATATCTGGGAATAAGACAAAAAAATACATGCAATTACAACTGGGTAAATATCACTAATTATCATGTATAACCTGGAATATTCCAACACTCTGTTAACTGGTCTTTTGGCTTCTAATTACAGTGCTAGAGTGATTTTCCTAAAATGTACTCCTGATCTTACTATTATTCTTGCACTCAACATAGAGTTCATTAGAATGGCAAACAAATGCCCTCTGTGCCTTAATCTACCTTTTCATTTTTTTTTCTTAAGAGATGAAATCTATGTTGCCCAGGCTGGTCTTGAACTTTTGGGTTCCAGTGATACTCTTTACTCATCCTCCTGTGTAGCTGGGACTACAGGCAGGTACCACTACACCTAGCTCGATCCATCTTTTAAACCTAACCCCTGGTGGGCCTTCTAGCAATGTAAGTTCTATACATAGTTTTACAAATATGCCAAGCATTCTCATTCATGCTTTGCACGTGATTTAAGTCCTTTGCCCAGATCACTCTTCTTTCCTGATTGCTTTCTTGTACAGACCTGGCCAACACTCATTCAACATAACTGAGAACCTACTATGTCATTCTTCCCAGACTCCTTCAGCTAATCTGTGAGTTCCATAACGATAGGGGTTTATTGTGTTCATTTTTGCATCTTTACCTAATAAGGCATCTGTTGTATCAAAAAAGCTCACTGCTAGCTGCCACCTTCGTCTAAGTCATTATCACCTCTATGTAATAACTACTAGCTAGTCTCTCTGCTCATATCCTTCAACTTTACAATCCATCCTTCAATAGTAGCTTGGGTGAGCTTCTAAAAATGTAAACCAAAGTGTATCATTCTTATGTTAAAAACATTCAATTGTTTCCTTATGACATGTGTAGTAGAATCCAAACTCCAATAGACTCCTACATGGTGTGATCTCTATTTCTCTATCCTTTCCTATTGCTAGCTGCCTCCAGCTCAGCAGACGGGTTTCTCCCTGTTCTTTCCACAATTCAAGCACTTCCTTACCTTACAGCCTTTGCACTATTCTCTCTCTTCGCCTGGAACACTCCACACCTCTGGCTCCTCTTTGTCATTTAGATCTTTCTATCTAAAAGACCTACCCAGAGTACGGATCCATACAGATCTTTCCCTTATGCTCACCTTTCATATTATAACCTTGCTTTCCTAAAAAGCACTTATGGTCTTGCCTAATCATGTGAGCTTATTTACTGTCTCCCTGATCTCTCTGGAATGTAAGATTTATGAGAGCTTTCTCTTATGTTGTTTTGGCAGCACCTGGAATGAAGCAGGTCCTGCTCAATAAATATTTAATATCTGTTGAATGAATTAAGTTCTATGGTAAGTTTAGTCAATAGACTGACTACAGAATAGAGCAGTCAAAGTGCTCTCTTTATAACAATGGGCTCACTATATGCCTAATATGTGGCAAAGAACAGTGGGAACTTGGGCTTTCATCTGGTATTGGCTGCTAACCTATTGTTAAAAAAAATAGCAAATCAGTTATTTTTCTCTGTCTTAATTTCCATATCTGTAAAACATGGACTGATCTCCAAAAAATTCTGGTCAGTAGACTAGATGCTTTGAGAAATGGAGAAGAAATGAATGGGGCCACTGCCCTCAGCCTTTGAGAGAAGAGAGGATATCTGAGTGGGGGCGAAAACTTGTGATCAAGAGAATAGAAATCAACAGTGTCAGCTCTGGAGTCAGAGTGTGTGAGTTCAAATCCTGCCTGTGCCACTTGCAAGTTGTGAGACCTGGGGTAAGCACTTTGTATATCAGTTCCCCCTTGTGTGCAACGAACGTAAGATTCCCCACATTATCAGGTAGCTGTGAGGGTTAGATGAAATAGATCATCTATATAACTTGCTTAGCACAGTACTCAACAAATTGTAAATATGCAAAAAAATATATTCAGGCTATTATGATCATCTCACTGAAATCTGATTATTTTAATTTAAAACCTAACATTTCTTATTGACGAAATAGTAAAAATACATAATATCATATACTTCTTTCCAACAGTCTGCACAGCAGTCATCTGAAATGAGTTAAATGATATTTCTCTTGTTTCTACAGTTTCTTCTTTTTAATATTCCTCCTGTCTGGGAAACTACTAAAATTAATAAATACATTGCATATAAAATACAGGTAGTTAATAAGGAATCTCAGACTCAGCATGGCTTTTCTTTTTTCCAACTTCTATTGTAGGTTCAGGGGTACACATGTGGATTTGTTACAAAGGTAAATTGCATGATGCTGAGGTCTGGAGTACAAATGAATCAGTCTCTCAGACAGCACAGTACCGAATTGGTACTATGTTCAGCCCTCCCCTCTCTTTTGCTCCCCAGTGCCTACTGTTCTTATCTTTACATCCATCAGCATGGCTTCTGATTCACTTTTACATTTTTCAAATATGATCAAAAGCTTTCCTATTATAGTAAAAGTGATGAGTCCCACCTTTCCCTGAGCAACAATAGCAAATTACAAGGAAATCAGTGGGGTTTTTTTTTTTTTTTTTTTTGCAAATTAACATCAACAAATTCTTGGCTGGGCATGGTGGCTCACGCCTGTAAGCCCAGCACTTTGGGAGGCCAAGGCGGGTGGATCATTTAAGGTCAGGAGTCTGAGACCAGCCTGGACAACATGGTGAAACCCCGTCTCTACTAAAAATACACACAAAGCATTAGCCAAATGTGGTGGCGCATGCCTGTAATCCCAGCTACTTGGGAGGCTGAGGCACAATAATCACTTGAACTTGGGAGACAGAGGTTGCAGTGAGCCGAGATTGCACCACTGTACTCCAGCCCAGGCAACAGAGCAAGACTCTGTCTCAAAAACAAAACAAAACAAAAAAACAAAAAAAAAACCCCAACAAATTCTTATATTAGAAATTTAAAATATTAGAAATAGTAAACATTTCTTGTTATAAGTAGTCCATAAATATACTGAAAAAGAAACGAAAAGAGAAATTACAAGCTTAAGGATAATGCCTGAAATACAACTCCTAACTTTCTGAAAGAATGGGAAAACCCCTAAGGAAAATTGTAGAGTAAGCTTAGCATTTAACTAAAGATAATACCACAATTGCAGCCTAAGGAACATCTCTAGGACAAAATACAATTTTATAGGGTTGGTTAATTCTGACTCAGCAGTAATTCTCAACTACAGTTTTCAGATGGAAACGATTTAGTAATTCCAAATTTTGAAGGTTAATATGTATTATAATGCCTCAATACACAACTATAAATTTTGCCACAGGTCTTTTGTGTAGTCAAAAAATGTAAAACCAGTTCTAAAACTCTGTTATATCTTCTAAGTTATACTTCTCAAGAAAAGTCATAAATTATTATGGGTTGACAATCTAATTCTTTCATGATGGTTTACAACCAAAGTTTAAAGTAGAGAAGAAGGAGAGATTATCCAGATTCATGATTTTATACTGTAGCTGAGGCAGATTTCTCTGGAGAGCACCACCCAGGTATGCCTTTAATTGGCAGTAAAAAACTTTGTATTATCTTGTAGTATCTAAGAGATCCATGTGGCATATGAAAGAACTCTGGACTTTTACTTAAAACTGAACTAATAATTTACTAACCAGAGAAAGGGTATCAGTGTTTATTAAAGAAAAGTTCAAAATGAAAGTATTTGTTTGTATTTTATTTCTTTCATTTGCTGTTACATAATAGTAGTCCCTAATATTCTAATATCATTTGCTGGAGAGCAGAATTGGGTGCCTGATGGACCCATAAGCTAGATCTGACAAAACTGACATGTGAAAAGAACCTCCTCAAACTAAGGATTGTATCTATTAAACACCGAATTCAAGTGTAGCATTATAGAGCAAAGATTAGGGAAGCTGACCAAACACGGTCTGAAGCACCATATTTATTCTATCATAACCTCAAAACTCAGAATGATATGTCAAAGAAGAAAAAATCTGTTTGATATTATTTGTTGATAATAAAATAGCACGCAGAATTACAATACTTTTTTTTAGAAAAGTATCTGATACTTATATTACATATCAATTACAAAATAATACACTAAGACAGTAGGGTAAACTTACCTCTATAATAAAAGAGGCAAAGGTCAGAAAGCACAAACCACCGTTTCTTCCACAATTTCATGCCAGTACTGTCCTGGATTAAATCAGCATATTTAAGGATTATTTCTCAAACAACAAAAACTCACATGTTGTGCATTTATTTATTTATTTTTATTGTTTTGAGACGGAGTTTCGCACTTGTTGCCTAGGCTGGAGTGCAATGGCGTAACCTCAGCTCACTGCAACCTCTGCCTCCTGGGTTCAAGCAATTCTCCTGTCTCAGTCTCCAGAGTAGCTGGGGTTACATGCACCTGCCACCACGCCAGGTTAACTTTTTTGTATTTTTAGTAGAGACGAGGTTTTACCATGTTGGTCAGGCTGGTCTCTAACTCCTGACTCAGGTAATCCACCTGTCTTGGTCTCCCAAAGTGCTGGGATTATAGGCTTGAGCCACTGTTCCTGGACTTGTGCATTTATTTAAAGTAAACTTTTAAAACAAGGTATGTTTGATACATATGTAATATAACCTAACTAAAAGGCCAATTAAAATTTTGGTGGTAGTTTTCTAGGGCCTTAAGATATTCCCAACTAGATTGGTCTCTGAAAATACCATTATGCAAAGGGAACATATTAAGGCAATTTGATTTGGCTTCATATTTGTAAGCAATTTGAAATTCACTCTTCTCAACATAAACATCTGCTAGGATAAGAATGATGTAACCACGCAGCAGTGCGTGCATTCTGGTAAACCAGATTTAATAAATATGTTAATCTTCAACAAGAAGAAAAATATGTGAATTGAAGTTATTCCAAAGGTAATGCAATTTAAAATGACTGTGAATAAAGAAACCTTAATATACAGATACGTTTTATAAACATTTTTTTTCCTTACGTCTATAGTTTGGGATTTGCTCATCATGTAAAAAAGAGAGACTATTTGGCAGCTATTTCTAAGTAATTTAGTTCATTAAAATATCAGGCTCAAACAAAATTAGAATTTTAATAAAAATTACTTTCCCATATCCAATGTAGCAAAATTGGAAGTAAAAATTAAACAGATACCCCCCCCAAAAAAAAAAAAAAAAAAAAAGAGAGAGAGAGAGAGGCCAGGTTGGATGTGCATTGATTAGAAATAAGTTTATTTCTAGCTGTGAGCAATGACTTTAAAATTACAGAAATTAACATGGGTGAAATCTTTCAAAATAAAAGATTTGACCTTAAAATTCACAGCTATACCAAAGAGACAAAAAAAATGGTAAATGATATCTTTTTTTTTTCCTCGAGACAGTCTCACACTGTCACCCAGGATAGTGTGTAGAGACACAATCTCAGCTCACTGCAACCTCCACTTCCCGGATTCAAGTGATTCTCATGCCTCAGCCTCCCAAGTAGCTAGGATTATGGGCGTGCACCACCACAGCTGGCTAATTTTTGCGTTTTTGCTACAGACGGCGTTTCTCCATGTTGGACAGGCTGGTCTTGAACTCCTGTGCTAAGGTGATCCACCCACCTTGGCCTCCCCAAGTGTTGGAATAACAGGCATGAGCCACCACACCCAGCCATCTTCAATTTCTTAATTATATTCTTTCTTTAGTACGGCTAAGGGACACTGTAAACAAATATGTGTCACACACATATTACAAAATAAACACTTTTTTTTGGAGACAGGGTCTTGCTGTGTCACCCAGGCTGGAGTGCAGTGGCATGATCATACCTCACTGCAAGCTCAAATCCTGGGCTCAAGCGATCCTCCCACCTCAGCCTCCGGAGTAGCTGGGACTACAAGTGTGCACCACCACCACCACACCAGGTTAATCTTTGCTTTTGTTTTGTTTTTTTTTAAAGTAGAGATGAGGTCTCACTGTGTTGCCCAGGCTGATCTTGAACTCTTGGGCTCAAGTGATTCTCCGGCCTCGGCCTCCCAAAGTGCTGGGATTACAGGCGTGAACCACTGTGTTTGGCCCAAAATAAACACTTGTTAGAGAAGCTACTTGGTAATACTTTTGCAATGCTAAATTAACCAAGGGATCAAGAAATAAGAACAAGAGCTATTTTAAATAAGGAATGCCATTAGGCTATTAGGCTCAATTTTGCACTGAAATAGTTGATCATAATTTGGACTTATTAGAAAGGCTAGCTGGAAAATATGGAGAAAATTTTCTATTAGAAACTGGGCTGGGTGTGGTGGCTCAGGCCTGTAATCCCAGCACTTTGGGAGGCCAAGGTGGGTGGATCATTTGAGGAAAGGAATTCAAGGCCAGCCTGGCCAAGGTGGTGAAAACCTGTCTCTACTAAAAATACAAAAATTAGCTGGGCAGTAGTGGCACACTCCTGTAATCCCAGCTACTTGTGAAGCTGAGGCAGGAGAATTGCTTGAGCCTGGGAGGCAGAGGTTGTGGTGAGCTGAGATCATACTGCTGCCCTCCAGTCTGGGCAGGCCATAGAGTGCCACCCTGTCTCCAAAAAAAAAAAAAAAAGGGAAAAAAAAGAAACTAAATATGAAAAAACCTTTTAGCCTGGATAAGCTTAAATATCAGATGGTTTAAATATAGTCAACCATCTTTAAATAAAAATTATGACTATTAATAAAAATCATTAAGTTACCTGAAAGCAATTAGCAATATTTAACAGAATAAATTGGCACCAATGAACTAATATTTAACTTGCTTTGTATCATCTTTACGTATATATAATCAGAAAGAAAGAAACAAGCCTTGAAGATTGAGGATGTCACCTCAGTTATTTACCAGTCACTTATCACCCAGTTGCAAACTGGAAAATAAATAGCTTCTATGTAATTGAAATGATGTCAAAATCCAAGGAGGTAACGTACATACATCTTTACTAATTCCAAAACTAATAAGGTTTCAAAATAGCTTAGATAGCAAGTTCCCCAGTCAGTGCAACAATATAAACCCCAACTTATCAGGATGCCTGAGAGTAAACCCTGTATGTGCAAATTAAAAAGAAAAGAAAAAGTAAAGAAAACATAACCAAAAAACGTAAGAGGAAGAAAGAATAGTCTCATATTACAGAATCAAAAATCTGAAAAAACTCAGAGAAATCTGAAATAATTATAAAATCTCTGTATAAATAAAGGGGGGAAATACATAACTGTATATTTCTCTAACAACTTTTATATCAATAGAAAAATGAATAACACCCTTGTATTAAGAGTTATTTCAATTTTGACTTTTAAAAATATTTCTGTCTAGATACTTTTACCATGCTATTTTTCATCATTTTCACACAGCATATATTTAATTTTAAATCTAGAAACACCCATAACAAACACACAATCTCTGTTCTAAGTAATGTCCACTCCTTTTTCTGCCTTCACTGTTCCCTTGATATTCTTCAGGGGTAACAAGCAAAGAACCTGGGTGGCTTCTCCATAGTTCCTTCTTAATTTTATGATTTTATAGAATTGTCTTTGGTACATTCAGTTTAAAAGGTTCCTTCTAATTTTGTCTTTTGTTTCATATCAAATAAAAAAAAAATACCTGTTTATAAAGCCAACCTCGTCTGACCACGGGTGCATTAGGATTCCTTTTAATTGAATTTGACCTCTTTCCAAAATTATGAACTTTTTTTGAAGCTCGTGAAGTCTAAATAGAAAAAGAGCATGACAGAAAATGTGGTATTAATGTCTAGAGATTTGAGCTTATTTTCCTCTTAAAATTTAATCTCTTTTCAGATTTTCCCAAGAACTGCAGGACTTAAATCTTTTCAGAAAAATTATTAAAATTCTACTTTTGCTGGGTTAGTTTTTTGAAGTGTAAGAATTCTGTACGAAATTTTTTTCCCCAGGATATCAAAAGTTTTACAATATTTCCTTTAAAATCCGGACGGGATATACAATTTTTAGAAACACAGAGTATGTGGCAGTATTTTGTCCTATCTGCTATATAAAATGAATAGATCTTAAGTAAAAACTGTTAACAAATCTTTAAGAATAAACCAAACAACAGAACTTTTCCCTTTATATCTTCATTTAATAGTGCAGGTTCAATTAAAGAAAGTTAACAGCACTCAGTCCAAGGAGAAATATACAGATATTAAATATAAACAAATATATCACATCAAGTCAAAACAAGACGGGAAGGATTTGCTTAATGTGATGTAGTGTTTTCTTTTTTATGGACAACTCTGAACTTAAACCAGACAGATGGGGTTTACTGGATTCTTCAATGTATACATAAAGATATACAATCTTTAAAAATATTGGTATGCTTACCATGAAGATTTATTTTGGCAGGAATCATAGTGGTGACCAACAAAAATGAAAACAATGAAGCTATAAAGTAACATAAAATTATCTCTTACTTTTCTACTTGTTTAGAATCTTTGGAAATCTAGCATACTTCATTAGAATTTTGTTTTGGGAAGCTTTTATTAGTATATAAGAAAATTTTAAGGCCCGACATCAACAAAATTTTTCCTAAAGCATGTTTTCTAGATAGACTTTAATTTACTTTCAAACAGATAATGCTTAAAAACAGTATAAAACTCAAATGACATAAAAAGATACACAAAGATCAATCTACTTCTCACTCTCGGGCTCCAGCACCCAGCTAACCCCACTCGCAACTGTGGGGCAACCAACATCACTGTATGTGTCTATCTATCTAAAATAACTGTTCTCATGATTAATGAATATTTTTCTGAAATGACCGCATATTTTAATATCCACTCTTCTGTTCCATTATTTCTTAGAGCTCACTATATAAACAGAATGCTTATTTACCCATACTGTTGTCAATGTGCTGTGTTATGAAACTTTCTGACCTTTGGAAATCTATAAGTGAAAATGGTGTCTTTTTCTGATTTTAATTAGTATTTTTCATATTATGGATGAGGCTGAGTATCTTTTTTCATATATTTAAGGGTAAATTCCATTTTCTTTTCTGAAAACTGATTTCATATAATTTGCCCATTTCCAAACTGGCATGTAAGCCCTTTTCTTATTGATTCACAGTACTTCTTTAATTATAAGGAAATTATTCTTTAATCGTTATACGAATTGCAGATACTCTGCATGGATAATAATTACATGTGGTTGAATTTCTCATTATTTTATATTGTTACTTCCGGGTTTTATGTCGTATTTAGAAAGCCCATCTACATTCTGATCTTTTTTTTTAATCTTCCATTGTTTTTTTCTAGTGCTTTTATAGTTTTGTTTTTAACATTTCAACAACTGATTCATCTAGAAAATTTTTGGTGTAAAGTATGAGGAACAGATTCAACTTTCTTTCAAGACAATGACCTAGTGGCTCTCAATCCATTCATCGATTTCACCAGATTTTAATTGAAATATACTCATAAAGCATTATGCTCAGTTAGCCTGTTGGATATATGTTACTTAATAATCAGAAATTATTTATATTATTTGAAAATTTACATTCATTTATAATCTCCTAACAAAATTTTATTTCAAAAACCTTAACAGGCATTTAAATACTATTATTATAATTATCTATTTCCTTACAATAAACATAATTTACTATTACAATGGTTTTGCTGAAAAATGTTTTCTCAATCTAAGCATTCTTATAGTCAGATAATTTGATTTCTAGGCTATTACATTAATCATCACCTTTAAAACTATAGAGTGTCCATTTTCTCTCACAAATATCATTATATTTCTAAAACTATTCCAAACTTAAAAACTTAAGTCTTTGAATTACAATCTTATTACTTTATATTTCAGGCTGCAATTGCTTCTTCTATCAATCACCTCCAAATTCATGTAGTAATAAAAATGTAATGATTATTCTATAATTTTAAGTCCACTATGAGTAATGGTATAGATACTGTTTACTCCTTATCAATAATTAATATAAAGCAAAATAACTTACTCTGCCTACAGGGCTCATTGGATGCACTGCATAATCTGAAGTCACATTATAGTTAGAAGCTTCATTTATCAAACTTATAGGTCGTTCCTTCTTTTCTTCAGATGTCATGGTTGCAACAGTCCTGAAAATATATGTCAAAATGCTAGAACTTGCTGTGTACGTAACCCACTTTACAATAACACTTCCCTACAGTTAACTATGCGAGTGTACTACTTTTTCACAGTACGTGGATCCTAGTTACTCTAGAATCAGGCCTTGATACTTACAACAACTTTAAATACAGCTAACACTTTTCCTAAGTCAAAAACACATTATTATCATGTTTATTTATTATTATGTTTTAAGACAGGAGTCTCACTCTGTTGCTCAGGCTGGAGTGCAGTGGCGTGGTCTTGGTTCACTGGAGAATCTGCCTCCCAGGTTCAAGTGATTTTCCTGCCTCAGACTCCTCAGTAGCTAGGACTACAGGCACACGCCACCATGTCCGGTTAATTTTCTATTTTTTAAGTACAGTCAGGGTTTCACCATGTTGGCCAGGCTGGTCTCAAATGCCTGACCTCAAGTGATTTGCCCACCTTGGCCTCCCAAAATGCTAGGATTACAGGCATGAGCCACCGCACCCGCCCTATCATGTTTATTTTTAATAGGCATTATTGCAGATATTCTACTTGGTCATCCAACTGAAAAATTAAAAATGAATTATAAGATTATTCTAATTTAAAAAGCAATAACAATTTCAGTAACTAACTCTGTGAATAGCTCTATAGTATAATACATTCTTACACATATTTCATTTGACGCTTATAAAACTCTTGTGAAATAGTGATTATCACTATCTGATTTAAGGACGAGAAAACTGAGCTCAAATTACTTTAATAATCTAACCAAGTTTACATAGTTTCTCTATGCTTGCATCCCGGGCTCTTGAGCTTACTGTGTTTGAAGTACTATAAAAATAGCTTCTGAGATTACATTCCTCATGAAAAAATGTTTAAGTCAGGTTTCTATATGACACATCATGAACAGCTGGCATTCTGTTATTATACTTGACTACAAATGTCCAGATAAGAAAGCTGTTAAATTGAAATATAAATAACAGCAATTTCAATGCTAACCCAATTTTGAATACAGGCATTCCATGAAACTCTTTACTTACTGTTCATTCACTACAAAAATACAATTGTCCTGTGATGGTTGTCCTGTGACTGGATGTTTGCAGGTCACTTTCCTTTCATTATGGCTGAAAAAAGAATAAAAGAAAAACAGAATGTGTAGGTATTTAAAATGCCCATTTATTTATTGTAACATTAAAGTTAGTCTACAAAGGAAATGAAATTCAAACTCCCAGCCTTTTGTTTGTTTGTTTGTTTTTGAGATGGAGTTTTACACTTGTCGCCCAGGCTGGAGTGCAACGGCAGGATCTCAGCTCACTACAACCTCTGCCTTCTGGGTTCAAGCGATTCTCCTGCCTCAGCCTCTGGAGTAGCTCGGATTACAGGCGCCCACCATGACGCCCAGGTAATTTTTTGTATTTTTAGTAGAGACAAGGTTTCACCATGTTGGTCAGGTTGATCTTGAACTCCTCACCTCAGGTGAGCCACCCGCCTCGGCCTCCCAAAGTGCTGGGACTACAGGCGTGAGACACGGTGCCTGGCCACCAGCCTTTTGAGATTCCTAAATATATCTTTCCTACTATCTATTGGGAGTGCCTGTGTGTGAAAATGTTACTTATATTTTTACAAAACAGTAAAATGCATCCCTTCTCAGTCTGGTCTCAATCCTTTTTCATTATTTTATAAACAAAAGTAAGTTGCAGGCCAGGTGCTGTGGCTCACGCCTGTAATCCCAACACTTTGGAGCGCCAAGGAAGGTGGATCACTTGAGGTCAGGCGTTCAAGACCAGCCTGACCAACATGGTGAAACCCCATCTCTACTAAAAACACAAAAATTAGCCGGGTGTGGTGGTGTGTTCCTGTAGTCCCAACTACTCAGGAGGCTGAGGCAGGAGAATTGCTTGAACCTGGGTGATGGAGGTTGCAGTGAGCTGAGACTGTGCCATTGCACTCCAGTCTGGGCAACAGAGAAAGACTCTGTCTCCCCCCAACCCCCTCCCCTCAAAAAAGTAAGTTGATTTGGCTGTTTGGCTCTTTACATTGCATTGTAAAATACAAAGATTACTGTATTTTATACTTTATAGGTGGGTCATGAAAAATAAGTATGAGTGTCTACCTACCTCCACTGTTTCATGGTCCAACATGGGTGCATTACATAGTACTAATGCCAAATTCATAAATGGAAAGAAAACCTAACAGTACTACTATATGGGCACCAGTACCTTAAAAAAATAGAAGGTTCTGAAACAGGAATACTTTACAGTGTTTCTGTTTTACAAAACTTATATAGATAATGTAATGATATTAATTTTTTGACACTTGAGGAAGGTATGTTGTAGAAAAAAAATGAAATCTGAAGGAGAAGCAAAAATCTTAAGTAGATGAAATGTGGAAACAACAACAAAAACAAAGAAACATCTGTTATGTTTACTGAAAAAAACTGCTTTGAATTAAGTTATGATTTTTTTGGAGAATTAGATGTTTGCCTAAGAAATAGTATTCTTTCTAGGTTGAGTGATAAGGTCTTCAACTGTTTTTGAATGAAAGAAGGAAAAAAACCCCTATTTATTTAAGCCAAAAATACTAGATGCTCAAAATAATATGCAATATACATTGATATATTAAATAGTCTATAATAATTTTCATTAGGTCATATACCATAAAGTAATCTGTAACAGAGACCTATCATTGACATGCCTGACATTAGAAAATTTACCTTGTAAGGTCTGCTTGAATATTAGTTTTTTTTGTTAATCTTAAAATATTAGTACATATGCTCTGTATGGTGAGAAGTCTATAACCACAACCTGCAAACTTCCAGGTAAATTTCATATGCTTAAGTTCTTTTTCCAAATCCTAATTTTCATATTTTTTTGGGTAACTCAATACCCTGAAACTTAATCCATTAAATAAAATTGAAACTATATAAATATAAAGATATAAAGTTTTTAAAAAATTCCGTATTGACTATTGTAAAAGTAGAATCATTAATGAAACATAGTGTTTCTATTATTCCTTAATTCAAGTGGTCTAAGAAACACATAGAGCCAACTGTTAATATTTAGAAAAATTTTAATACATACAGCACTTGACACCCTGGGAGGTAGCTGGCTCACTGTTAGGTCCTGACCATTGTCCTTGGCACAAGGGAGGAGTGACTGCTGAGGACCACAGGAAGGGCAGGGAAGGGAAGATAATGATTCTAGCCTTTTCTCAATTCTACCAAAGTTTGTCCCCTGTATTATTACAAATTGTATGTTTTCATCTTAGATCTGCCATTCTTTTCCGCATTTCACAAGTTGTTGTTGTTGTTTTGATGGGCCTCAAAATCCAGATCAAGAGAATCATCAGTTCTGCTACAATGCTTGCTGGAACTGTTTCAACATGATTTGTATGTTAAAGGAACAATTTGAGCATAATACGACTTTGCACTTGCTTATGCATGATTTTATCTGTGAGAGACTCTAGATGGATGCAAAAAACTGCACCTGACAAAACCCAGCCACACAGGAGTACACAAAATGTATATCTGCACACACCTCAAACATGTAGCAGCTACTTCAGTTCATTGCCTGTTTTATGAAACACACTTATCCACATCTGGTGATACAACTTTTTTTTCTTTTCTTTTTTTTTTTTGAGACAAAGTTTTGCTCTGTTGCCCAGGCTGCAGTGAAGTGGCACAATCTCAGATCACTGCAACCTACGCCTCCTGGGTTCAAGCAATCCTCCTGCCTCAGCCTCCCAAGTTAGCTGGGATTACAAGCATGTGCCACCATGCCTGGCTAATTTTTTCCATTTTTACTAGAGATGGGGTTTTGCCATGTTTGCCAGGCTTGTCTTGAACTCCTGGCCTCAAGTGATCCGTCAGCCTTGGCTTCCTAAAGTGCTGGGATTACAGGTGTGAGCCACCGCGCCGGGCCTACAGCTTTCAACTCAATTTCAGATAACCTTCCCCCCAAAACTTCCCAAAAATTCACGTGCTGAAACCCTTTCAACACCTAGTTACTTTCACAAGCAAACTGCGGGTCTTTTTCAAGGCCAAATGTCATATTTATTATGCTACCATTTTTATTCGGTTCCTGTACGTGTTGCTAATGAAGTTTTTGAGTGGTGTGCTCCTAAATCCATTCCCCCGCCAAGCCCTGTGTTTTTTTGTTTCCAGATTTTGCACGATGAGGTGATTTTTAGAGACACACATGCTATATTTTTGCAAAATATATTGCACTACTAAATTACAAACTACCATATCACTATCCTATTAAAAATGCATTAGAATTTTAACAGACACTGAAACAAGGTGTCATTTAAAAAAATTCTTCCCAGATATTTTATGCTTAATAAAAACTGAAAATAAAAAAAAGTATTTAAAACAATTTGTATTTCTAGAAGAATCCTTATAAAAAGAATAAAATTCACGTCTTTATTTTATTTTTTTATTATTATTATTTTTGAGACGAGTTTCACTCTTGTTGCCCAGGCTTGAGTGCAATGGTGCGATCTCAGCTCACTGCAAGTTCTGCCTCCCAGGTTCAAGTGATTCTCTTGCCTCAGTCTCCCAAGTATTTGGGATTACAGGCATGCACCACCATGCCTAGCTAAAAAAATTTTGTAGTTTTAGTAGAGAGGGTTTCACCATGTTGGTCAGGCTGGTCTCAAACTCCTGTCCTCAGGTGATCCACCGGCCTCGGCCTTCCAAAGTGCTGGGATTACAGTTATGAGCCTCTGCGCCCGGCCAAATTCAGGTCTTGATATAAGACATACCTATGGTCACAGAACAAACTAATTCTCACCTTGTCTCTGTAGTCACTGTGGCCTAGTAGGAAGTCCAGACTTTTCTAAATACAATGCCAGTGTTTACCTACTCTTACTTCCGTGATGATGTTTTAATGTGGAGGTCTACATAAGTGGTTCTCAATTGGGTGATTTTGCCTCCAGGGGAACATTTGGAAATCCCTGGTAACATTTTGAATGTCACAACTGGGGAAATGTTACTGGTGTCTAGTGCATAGAGGCCAGGGTGCTGCTAAACATTTTATAATGCAGAGTAGAGCCCTCCATGTCCAAATAAACCTCCAGAAACGTCAGCAATGCTGAGGGTGGGAAGCCCTGCATTAGGCTATCATAACCCTTAAAATAACTGACTCTACTGAATAAGAAAAGCAATATTTACTATTCGTGTCCCTGTATTTCTCTAAACACAACAGAGGTAGCAGAAAACAATGGTAGTTGAGAGCACAGTTTGTGAAATCAGACTACACAGGTTTGAATCTCAGCTCCTCCACTTAATAGCTAGGTGATCTTTCGCAACTTACTTTACCTCTCCGTGTCTCAACTGAATAAACGCAGCTATGTCACAGGTTATTCCTTCATTTAGTCAACATATACATATATATACACACAAATATTTTCATAAATATAACATCTATATAGACATATATTTATATACGGTAGTCCTCCCTTATCTGTGGTTTTGCTTTCTATGGTTTCAGTTACCCTCAGTCAACTGCCGTCCAAAAATATTAAATAGAAAATCCCAGAAATAAACAATTTTTTAAGTTTTAAATTGTGAGCTGTTCTGAGTAGTGGGATGAAATCTCTCTCCATCTTGCTCTATCTCATCTATGATGTGAATCATCCCTTTGCCCAGTGTCTCTAAACTCTCGATGCTACCTGCCCCATTAGTTACTCAGTAGTTGGCCTGGTTCTCAGATTAACTGTTGAGGTACTGCAGTTTTTGTGTTCAAACAACCTTTATTTTACTTAATAAATGACCCCTCCACACACACACCCAAAGTACAAGGCTTGTGATGCTGGCGTGCTGTTACCCTTTAATTAGTTATAGTTAATCTTTTACTGTGCCTAATTTTTTAAAAAACAGAGATGGGGTCTTGCTAGGTTGCCGAGTCTGGCCTCAAACTCCTGGGCTCAATGATCTTCCTACTATGGTTTCCCAAACTGCTGGGATTACAGGCATGAGTCAGCATGGCTGGCCCACTGTACCTAATTTATAAATTAAAATGTATCATAAAGCAGTAAGAAAAACATAAAAAAATCCTTGCCCTCATGGAACCTACTTTATAATGGAGATGTAGAAAATAATAAGCACTTGATAAATGTTATTTAC